ATATATATATATATATATATATATATATATATATATATATATATATATATATATATATATATATATATATATATATAATCATACGTATATTGTACAAAATTATATAAATATAAAAAAATGTTATATTTTGTTTAATTGCAGAAATAATTAACCGTAACATTTTTTATTTTGCGCACTATATACATATACGTTCTAATAAAGAATAACCCTTATAGAAATATCATACTAAGAATCATTGATAATTACTTATTTTCAGTATTAAAAAATATTAAAGTATTTTCAGTACTGGATAATAAGTAATTATCAATAATTCTTAGTATGATATTTCTATAAGGGAATTCTTCGACATATATCAAAACAATAAAATATAAGCCATAAGCCGCTATAGAAGCTATATTAAACAAATTCCTCGACTGCTTCTTTCAGTGTATTATTTTGCGTACCGTCTATTCTATGCAATTTTTCTACGAATACGAGTCTAATCGTAAAATCGCAAATATGTTACAGCAATGTGCGAACTATTTTGCTATAAAGTATGCAACGATAAAATACGCTGCATCAAATTTTACATTGGCAGTCTCTCAAAACTTTGCACAATGGTTCATGTTTGGATACCAGTGCCAAAGTTTACTCACAAAATACGTAACATAGCGCGCAAATCATTGGATAACTATTTCAACATGAGAAAAATGCAATTTGCAAGCTGAAAAATAAAATTAACCGAATGATAAATCCAGACAATACCGATTTAATATTTCGATATTATATTTCTTATTCTCGTTAAACGTCACCGTCTTTCGCGCTTTTATCCATTCATGTAATGAAGACTTCTGTATTTGTATTTCAATAAAGAAATCTCTCAATATCGTTATAATATAATTTACCACAAATAAATGAATAAATATGACTGAATAAGTATCTAATAGCTTTTGTACTTACATTTACGTCTGTAACCTATTTCTATCCTATTGTTTGCAACATCGTAGAGGAATTTGGTGTCCATTTTGACCTAATCCATGTATACACGAGGTATACACGAAGTGTACACGAGATATATATATATACGAGGTATACACAAGGTATACACAAGACATTATATGAGATATGAGACATTTAGTATCAGACATACTGTACATAATTTTGACAGCTGTCAAACCGCTCCTCCTCGGCGCGCATATTCGTGGACAGACTTTCGCAACTAAAGGCTATTCTAAAATTCATCAAGAGACATCTTTTGGCCAATGATTATCACTACATATCGAAATAGAACAGTACGTGACGTCATTTCCGTGGAAGAGAACACTTACACTTCGTATACACTAGTGTAGACAGTTCAATTAAAAAGAGCAAACCTGCTTCCATTCTATTCACCTCTCTTTGGTTGGCGCGACTGACGCGCGACCGTTTTAGACCAACCGTCTTCAACGGTTTCATGAGAGCGTTTTATTAAACTAACCACATCAGAAGCCTGTATTTTTATTAATTGATTCTATAACAACTAGTTGTACGCGACAGAGGAGGACTGCATGACAACTAGCAATTGCACCAGTTAAGGAAAACGTGTAAAGCTTGAAATGTAACGAGTGGCAGGCTGAATGAGCAGTTGACGAATATTTTGCTTCACATACACACCCTTCATGCACGTTAACCCTCGAAATTTGTCGAGATGAGCACGTCACAGGATGAGGACGAGCGTAAGAAACGTTCGCTGGAGTCTGGCAAAGAAATGGCAAGTGTTCTTTTTATTCTACTTATTGTCAATGTAGTTGTCATTTCCAGTGTCCCTTTGCTGCCTGCTGCAGTATGCAGCTTGACCTTTACTTTGTTCCTGTTGGTTGTATTACTATACTTTATGCTTTTTAGATTGCTTTCTATGCTACTAATGTTTAGACAAAATCCCATGAATTCTTTTGTGTTGTGTATTCTAACCTGTATATGGTTAGTTTTATATAACAATAATGTTTCTAATGATTGTGTAGTTGGAGAGATACAAGGCAAAGAGATATAAAGACAAAGATAAAAGCATGAGCATGGAACAGTCTGACGATGAGTCTTTGCACAACGAGAAATCCCTGCTGCTTAAAGAATCCGAAGTAAGAATGATAAATAGACTAATATTTAGCATAAATTTTTGTTTATTGTACAAAATACTTGCATAAAATATTTATGTATAAATTGTATTGTTCTCTCATATTACTGGTTTTTCTTTAGATAAATGAAGGTACATCATCACGAGATATAACGTACAGTAGCGTTAGTATAAGCGAAGGAGAAGCTGATGCAGATTTAGAAGGATTAGCAGGACGAGTCGCAGAATTAGAAGAATTATTGGAAGGAAAAGAGGCAGCAGTTGAGGCTTTAAATGAAGAAATTGATCATTTACGAGCAGAAGCTTCTTCACCAAATTCATCGCAGAGTCAAAGCAGCAGTATTCATGGAAGAGATATTATATCTTTATATCATATAAAAGTATGTTATGATTGATAAAAAACATATTTAAGTGCGTCTTGAATTGTAAAATTAATTCAGAGAAATCAGTGGTTTTATTTGTCATATGATTTGTGCAGATACAAAATTGAACTGTAAGATAGTCACTGTTAGATAATATTGTATGTTTTATGTTTCTTTTAAAACAGTTGCAAGAATTTGAAAAAGCAGTGAATCAGCGTGACAATCTAATAGAACATTTAACATCGTCTTTAGAGCAGGCGTTATCTGCCAGAGATACTGTCACAGCACAGCTTAATGCCTTGAATTCCATGCAGTTAACCAATCCTATGGTGGATAATATAAACTTGCAACAAAAGGTAAATAGTACATTTCATGTATTTAAAATTTGCAATTATTATATAATTATAACCTCGAATGATTTTCTGGATACTTTTAGATTGATGTCTTAGAAAAAACAATGAACGATCAAGAAGCATTAATTCGTCGATTGAACGCGCAATTGACGGACATTCATGAACATGTACAAACGTTGGAAATGGAAAGAGAAACACGAAATGCAGAAATTAACGATTATAAAGCGCAAATAAATAATTTAAATGAGCAAATTCGTCTTGGCGCTGCGGGAAAGAATATAAACATTGACGAAACTTTAGAGCAACAGAAACAGTACGAGGCACGCGTGGATAAAATCAAACAAGATATGCAGCATATTTTGAATAAATTTACTACCGCCACAAACGCTAATGCAGTACGTCATCAGCAGGAACTCAAGGTGCACATTTGATAAGAATATTTTCACATAAATAAATTTTTGATGGAAACTATTTTAAGATTTAAATATTCTTGAAAATCTAATAAATTCAACAAGAATTATACGTTATCAAAATTATTATTTAGAAGAAAACTAAATTATTACTAATAAACTTGAAATTATGAAAAAAAGATTAAAATTTTATGTTGAAAAAAAAAATTATAATTGCAGGATCTGACTACCAAAAATGAAGCCGAGATTGCTCATATAAAAGGCAAACACGAAGAATTTATAAAGATACTAAAAGACGAAAATAAAACGTTGGCCGATCGTTTAAATAAAGAGCTGCCGGACTTGGAAAGCAGACATGCCAAGGAATTGTCTGTTTTTCAAACGCAGTTGGCTCACTATAAGAAAACTGTCGAGGCATTGAAACTTGAATTAGTTAATCGTGCGGAATCGCAAAAGATTGCTCAATCAGAAACCAATCTATATAAATCTAAACTCGAGGAACTGAAATTTGAAGCGGAAAACGAATGTCGTCGGCAAAATTTAGATTTCCAAAAGGAGAAGCAGCTGCTGAATGAGCAAATAAAATTACACAAAATTCAACTGGAGGAGATTACATCGAAACACATCGCGACGATGAGCATCTTGGAATCTAAGGAAAGCATTGAACGATCGCTGGAACAAGCTCTGACGAACGCAGCCACGTTGAAACAAGAAAATGACACGCTGAAATTCAAGCTGGACGACCTGTCGTGTAGATATTCCATGGTACAGTCGGCGGTTGAGAACAGTCAGGCGCATGAGAGGACTACGAGCGGTAGAATATTTGATTTGGAGAGATCTTTATCACGATTTGACGCCACGAGCGTCAGCACAAATAGCGAACTGTGCGAAACCATGTACAAAACTTTAGACGAAGAAGCCATTCAGTATCAGCTGATGCGACGAAATCTCGAAGAGAAGACGGAAATGGAAAAACTGCTGACCAACAAGATTCGCACACTTGAAGAGTGTCTGCTCGAAGCAAACGATGAGCTAGAACAAGCCGATCTCGCGAAGAAAGCTTACGAGAAGCAGTTGAAGGACATAAAAAACACAAGCGATAAGCTACAACAAGAAGTCAATTCGTTGAAAGAGTCTAGTCGTGTGATGCCTTGTGATACCTCGAAGGAGGAATGTTTGGGAAGCGCTGCGATGAATATTGAGGGCGATTCGATGCGGCGAATAGAGGATCAGCAAAGAGAAATCGAGAGTTTGAAGCTGCTACTAGAGCAAAGAGAGACGGAGAATGCCAGTTGCAAGAAGAATTTGGCTGAAATAATGGATAAAACGAAGAAATTGGAAGCACAGTGTGATCAATTGAAAGATGGTTTGGCTAATGCGTGGGCACAATGTGCAGAGTTTGAGGAGAGATTAAATCAGACTATGAATGATAGTAATAAAGTCAATGCCTCTATGAACAGCACATCTTCGTCCAAACAACTCGGAACAAAAGAAAGCTTGAACAATAGTCAGAGCGCAGCGGATCAGGACGATGGTTGCCTAAAAAACGACCATCAGAACCTATACAAAGAACTACAGCAAATTCTGGAAGGCGAGTCGAGTTTAGATGAAATGAAGTTAAAATTATGTCGTTATTACAGCGTGTGCGAGAAAATAATCGAAGAAAAAGCACAGTTCTTGTTGGAGAGTGCTTCACGAAAGTCGCAGGATGGCGAAGATCCTTTACAAAAGTCTTTGAATAACTTGTGCATGGAGAAGAAATTGTTGACCCAAGAAATCGAGGACGCGATGAATCGACGTAAAGAAGAACTGGAAGCTATCAAAGCTGATTCTGCCAAAGAGATCAATAGATTGCGTTTGTTGCTGCAGAATCTCAAGGCAAGACATTTTCAATTTTATCTTGAATGTTTTGAAATTAAAAGTATTGCGTGAAAAATATTAGCGACAACATGACATGTATAATATAAACTCAATGCATTTATTGGGTAAATTAGAAAGTGTTTAGTTCCAGTTTTTAATCAAATTTGATTTTATTGCATTCAATAAAAAGTATTCTTAAGACTTTTCTGTCAAAGTTTTTAATAGCTATATAAATAATAGGCGTGAGCTATTTTATATTCTGCATATAACCGTGTTAACTAAGTATTCATATAGGTATTATTATTTGAGTAAAATTTTTGCTTATAAATTTTTATTTTGTCTCTAAAGGACGGTAGTGCAAGTATGAACGATTTGAGAGCCGAGCTAGAAGCACGCCATGCCAAGGAAATGGAAGAACTGAGAACATACTTCGAGCGGAAATGCTTGCAGATGGAGAAGCAGTATTCCGAGGAAGTATTCAGCCAGCAATCCAAACGAATCTCCGACAACGATAGCGAAACTGAAGAACTGACCGACGATTTGTACTTCGGCGGCGCAGGAGATTGTTTAAATGTGTCTAATTCACGAGCGGCAACTCCTGGTACCATCGAGGAATCCTTGAGAATTCGTCTTCTGGACGCCGAAAACCAAACACGAATCGAGACAGAATACGAAAACAATATGAAAGCCTTGCGACAGGAATTGGAACACAAAGCCAATGAAATTCAAAGTATCAGGACAGCCTATGAGAAAGTGATCGAGGAACAGAAAGAATTATTCGAATGTCAAATTCGTGATATTGAAGCAAAACATGAACGTTCATCCACTGGTCCCGTCATGCACGAGGTGAGAACAATCTTTCCAATCACTTTGAGTTTGTTTTGTTAATAATATTGATTAGTTTTTTTTGCAACAACTCTCGTCCTTTTCGATTGTGCAATATGAACATAGCTTGCTTGCAATAATATTTCCTTTAAAAAAGGCTTCCATTCAGAAAATGCAAATTTATCTATTAATATAATGTCTATTGATAAAATCTTTGAAATCATAAAGAATTTGTCAGACTGCTTTCACTCATCAATATCGATTATTTCTTGTAAATGATTATAAGAATTCTTATAAAATTTATAAAATGTGTTGAAATAAAGATGCACGATATGATTAGTGTGTACTAATTGTCCTTAATACATTTTTCGTCTCAGTGTGTGAATATGATTTCTTCTACTTATTATATATATATATATATATATATATATATATATATATATATAT